GATCGTTTTGGGCCGCTGCTGTAAGAAAAGTGAGACACGAACCGGAAAAGCTTCTGCCGATCACAATTCAACAACGGTATATGAAAGAATGGATAAAGCTTGAAACGTGTGGATTCTTTCTGATGTAAGAGGTGAGTCTCCGCTTTGTTTTGGTTGTTTTCGCATCGACATCATCCAAGTGCACAACGTTCTGTGACTCTTAAAAAAACAGTAAAAACGGTGAGCAACGCTGGCAGCCAAGGGCTTTACCGATCAGGAAATGGCTGGCAGTGAATGAGTTCAGTGTACTAAATGTTAAAGAGTACTACACATTTACTTTTAACCTAATGACATATAACAATGAATATTACTCTTTATGTGGAACATAACTTGGTTAAGTAAACTCAACATGTCAATTTTTTACAGTGTACAACTAGAGATTGATGCAGTTGTACTTGGTTAAGTCCTTTATCATCAAACTGCACTTAACCAGCTGATCATGTTGTCTCTATCTGCCTTTATAGCCTTCAAGGTATGTTTTTGGTGCAAATGATGACAAAAGCGTTGCATTTGCATCTTTGGTGGAACCAGCTTTCATACAAATTCTGCAAAAAAAGTTGAAGATCATTTCTTAACTGGTAACTGGAGTAGCTTTTGTTTTTAATGAATTTCAAATCTGTTGCTCTCACTGTCAGATGTGTTAGGGTGCAGATCAGGGGTGTCAAACTCAAATTCACACTGGGCCGAAATGAAAATCTGGGACGAAGTCGCAGGCCGAACTTAATATTTTTTTAAAATGAAAGTGAATATCTCACCTGTTAACTTTCATGTTTTGGAGCAGAAAAAGAGCATAAAAACTAAATGTTTAAAGCTCAGTTTGCTCCACTGGTTTACTGTGATGCTCACCTGTTCCAGCCAGATACCTGCATCATGGGGTTGAGGAGCTCTGAGCTGAGTAGGAGACTCCTGTTGTTTTGTTCATCTTCATCATAATAATGACAACATTAGATGACAACAGGTGCTCACATAGGTTTGTGCTGGTGAGCATGGAGAGCGTCTGAGCAACTTGACCACGTTGTTGTGTGTCGAGGAGGAAAAATAAAAGCTACAGCAGCCACAGAGTTTGAGCCACATGCTGGTTTGAGCGTGTCGCTGCTTGCTGGAGTTATATCAGCTCTGTCTGGAAGTTAGTTGGAAAACTTTCTCTTTCAGTCGTGAACACATTACTGAGCAGTTAAAATCTCCATTTCTGGGCTTCAATGTTGGCAAATAGATGAGTAAAATCGGCGCTGAGTGAGAGGAGTGCTTAGTTTGTCCGAGACAGCGGAGCTGCTGACACAGGCAGCAGACGCTGGAAAAACACAAAGGAGGGGTCGCTTCGGCTCTGCGCTAACGCCGCAAAGCATCATGGGAGTTGTATCTTTGCGGTAAAACCAGCCAGCAGGTTGGTTTTAATATTTTTTTAATATTTATCTCGAGGGCCACATAAAAATGCTCCACGGGCCACATCTGGCCCGTGGGCCTTGTGTCTGACACGTGGTGTAGATGACACACATGACAGAACATGTCAGTGTGTCACATCAACACATCACTGACCTTGCAAGGTGTCACTTTTTACCAAACAAAAGAGCTTTTGTGAGACTTAAACAATTAAGGTCATCAGTTAATTAAATATAAACAAAACCATGAATTAATTTCCATTAATGTTTCACCACAACGCTGTTTGACCCGTGAGATATCTTTACGCTGGAGTTCAGATGATCGTTTGATTAAGCAGCAATGTTTTAATCATTGATGATGGAAATGAGATCTACAGTAATGAAATTTCCATTATGAAAAGGGAGCTAGTCCTAATATGGAATTTATTCATTCATGCAGGTGTAAATGACATTTCGTGGCTGAAAAGAAGACACTAAATAAATGTCAGAAGCTGAATGGAGCTTCACTCCTTCCTTAATAAAATGTGCTGCATCGTCAAGCGTGGTGACCGTATACAACAGCTGTGAAAATGGCGGGTAGGGTATATGTTATGATGAGATGAGTTTTAGGAAAGATCTGGGTGATCAAAGGCACTAAAATTTGAAAAAATCTATTTCAAACATGGACATATTCTGCTTTAGAGCTCACATGTAAACATCTGCAAGGACCGAGGTTAAACATGTAAAATGTAAACAAAAAAATTAAGACAGAGCAGCTGCGTGCTGTCATGAAGAAGCAAAAATGCTCAAAGATCCACAGACTTTAGAAACTAAAAGCTATCAGTTTCATTCTAATTATGATAAAACTCTAGTAACATGTCTGTATTTTAATTTAGAAATCCCATTTTCTGCTCGTGCAACGCTCCCATCAGAGGAAGCTTTCCTTTGATTCTGTTTCAGTAGAGGTGACATTCAGCAGGAGACCAGATGAGAAGGAGCCCCTGTGGTTTAGCCTTTAAGCACAACTATTGTTTCCCAATCTGTTAAGCTAAAGCTCAGCCCAAAAATCTTTCCGCTGAATTGGTCAGTTTGGCGGGACACAAAGCTGAGATGACAGCTGATCGCCGATTTGGTCTTTGGGTTGTTTTTTTTATTTATTTATTCTTTTGCCTCAATTTTTTTGTAGTAAAGCACTTTGTTAAACTGCATTTAATAAGTCAAATTTATGATTAACACTGTGAATTTCCTCTTTCCACACATTTATATAAATCTAGTTATGTTATGTGAGGAGTAAATAATGATTGTGTCAAGGTGTTTGTTAATGTGCGTAGGTTAGTAAGCTCAAACAAAACACTCAATATATTGAATAAATAAGCAAATGTATTGTATTTTTAGCCACTATAGTGAGAAAAAATGATTTTAACTTTCAGAATAAATTTTATTTAATACTATAGCGGACTTATCGTGCTAAACTTACATTTTGCATCCTGTGTTAACATGTCGGTCTCTACTGCCTCTATCAACACTCCAAACTTGATAAAGGGAAGAAAACATCCATTGAGTGTTTGGTTTTAGGAATTATGTGCCTAAAACAAGCTGTTTCAAAAGTTCCTTTTTGTATATTAGTATAGAACCACCTCTCGTGTGCAGGAGAGAACTGCCGCGGGAGGAGCAGTGGCTCTACTCTTAGCCCCTCCCAGATATTTGAGTTTCTCAGCAGCCTGAACGAGGGGTGTGTGGGCGTAGCCAGCTCTAGCTTGTTTTCTTCAAGTGACAATGTGAAGTTTTTACCATTAGTCCCTGGAAATATCAATTGAAATGGTGAAAATGAATTATCTGGTGCCCAGTTGTTGAAAAATACTGACAGCTTTGTAAAATATATGCCTTAAAAATGGGTCTAAAAAACATGGGAGCGGGTCTAAGTCTGTGGGTGACGCCATATTAGACGGCATGTTTCCTTCTACGGGAGCCCCCAAGGACAAAACACATTTGCTGATTAGTTACACACAGTTACAAAACTTTCCCCGTTCGTACACATTGTTGTTTTACACGTTGCTCGTTGCCACTGATGAAAGGGAGTCTGATGTGCTTGTCATTTTGCTGGAGGTTGAATAATCTGATGAATTAATTGTTTGAAAATTTGCGCTCCCAGGGATTTTTGACCCTGATGGCCATCCGTTGGTAAGATCTTACTCAAACACAAAAATACTGCTTTCTTGCAATGATTTAGGTATGCACTGTGTAAAATACACATTGTTACGTTAAAATGACAGGAGCCCTTAAACAACTCATTTTGGAAGGTACTGAAACTGTCAAGAATAAAACTGTGAAATTGCTTTATGTGAGAGGGATTTTGTGCAAAGAACTTCATTAACTTGCATTTTTTATCAACCATAGCACTATTATGATTTCAGAAAATAAGTCATCATATGTCTCCTTTAATGTACTGCGGATTAACAAATCAACATTTGTGACAATGCTGCGTTTTAGAGGAGACAAATTACTGCAAGATGCATATAAAATACTTTTTTTAATTGCAAATGGATATCCTACAGAAAAACAGAGTGGCTTTGCCCCATTAGCACTTTTCTTCCTTTCCATGATCAAATTCAGGGAGGCACCCCTGACACCAGGCGAGATGTAGTACACACCTGCTGGTCCTCTTAAGCAGCTGCGCTCTACTATTTACTCCCATCTGATGCTTACATCTACTCATTCTTAAGTAAAAACTAATTTGGTGCTTTTCTGTTCCATTAAGAACTCATTAATATATTTGCACAAAACTGAAAATGCACCATTAATTCTGTGAGCTTGGATGCAAGAGTCCTTTCCAGCTCAATCCTGGCATGTTGAGGCAGACCGAGCTTGTTATATTTAGTCAGACAGCAAGTCTGCTGCTAATGAATGCTGCTGGCAGGGTGTCTGTGAGCCCAGAGGAGATTACAGGAAACACTGGTAATGTGCGTCCTCTCTGAAAATGAGCAAGACAACAACCAAGACCGAATGACAGACAGACCTACATATTGCAGACACAAAGGGACACTTTCACTATTGGGCATTGTTTTTATAGCTCATTCCTACTGGGCATGTACAGATGTTAATACAATGCACCAAATAAGCAGGTTTTATGTAGTTGTTCATTAAGTGGTTAAAAATCTGTCCGTTTCAGAGTTAGAAAGAAACTGAGACGATGGTGACAGCTCAATGGAGAGTTGTGTTGATATTTATATTTAAGTGGGTAGAAAGTTGTACTGCTGTGCCTCCAGGCTTCAGCAAATATCCAGAACAACTGAGAAATATTCTTGAGTTGTTATTCCTCTCTTTAAAAAATCAGACTTTCCCTTTATGTACTCTCTTTACAGTTTGATGTTAACTTCTGCTACCACTGCCGTTTTTGGAAAGTGTTGCTCATTAAAATAAACATGTCAGCATTAAAAAAAAACTTTTGAAATGTCATTCTATTTTATTTGTTCTGACAGGCAAATATTTTAAGCATTTACACATTTCTTGTGAAATCACAAGAGAGGTGTTAGAGCTTTCAGAGACGTTCGCTAAGATTTAACATGATTTAATTCTGCTACTGACCCTTTGTCACTCTCTCAGGATCCGACTTTCAGTGCAACACCCACATAATCCCGGTGAAGAACGAAGAGGGCGTGGTGATCATGTTCATCTTGAATTTTGAGCTCGTCTTGGATGAGGGAAGTGACCGCTCCACAGAGAATATAACCCCAGCATCCCCAACAAGGTCAGATCTAAGTGAGTATTAAAGATAAATTAGATTCTCTGGAATATTTTTTTCTCAGAGGGCGCCATCTAGAGCTGGAAACATGTATAGCACCTTAAGTCCCTCCCCTATTTCCATCTGGGAGCAACGCCTCTCATTCCTGAACACTAGCTAGCCAACAGAACTAAAACTAATTGTTTTACAATCATCATCGACACATTTAGCTGTTTATTCTTTAATATTTATAGAAATGTCGCCAACTGTACATCGCTGCATCCACGAACATTAGATTGCATGGGGCTCACACATTTCTAGAAAATCACATATAAATACTGACGGGGGAAAACTCCAGATAGCAGCATTACACTCTGAAGTCTTCTTTCGTAAAGCTGAAGTTAAAAAAGTTTAAAAGTATATGACATCATCAAGGAGAGGAAATTTGAATGAAAAGCTCTCCATCCCCTTCTGAAAGGAGCTAAAAGCTACGCCTCCTACCACGCACACAAATAGCCGTGTATCGCTAGCAAACAAGTAATGTTGTCGAAATGATCTCCCTCAGACTTACCTGATTGTAACTGCTGGCACTGATCCAATGCAGGTGGAGTTAGCGTGTAAGCTAGGTTGGTGTGCTAAACTGACTGAGGTGTTTGCACCACCCTGCAGTGCATGCTGGGCACTGGGGTGCATTCTTGAGGATTGAGAGCTCACTCTTTTGGAAAACGCAAATCTATTGGTCAATGCTCTAGGCTCGCGTAAATGATTTGTTTTGCTGCAGGGTCCAGGGGAGGTTACCTACTCCATAGAACAGGGTCAGATTTTTTTTGTTTACATATTGTAAACCACAGACTCCAGTTTTAAGTTTTGTCTCAGTAAAAATTTGCCCAAAGCTTTGATAGTCAGCCCATGCTACACTGTGTGCTTGAATGTGCCTTTTAACCCTTTGTATTAATGTACATATGTGCATGCACGCCTCTGTGTTTGCTGCTACTTTAGCTCATGAGAGACAATGCTTTTTTTTATGTGGAGTCACGAGAGAGAGGAGCATATAATGTGGCTTTAGATCAGTGGAGGCAAAGCGATAGTGAGACTTTATTATATCACACTTACAGTTCGACCTCAGCGCTGTCTTTGACTTTGAGCTGCTCTTATGCAATGGCAAGGAGTCAAAGTTAATTTTATGCTACACTTGGTTTAAAGCTGATAAAATCTGGTTTGCATTGCATGTTTTTGACTACACGCAGAATTTGATTTAGCTGATTTCTTGTAATCAAACAAAAAAAAGTTGAGTTGAGGAGTTTTGACGATGCATCTAAGAAAGTCATCGTACGGTAAATACATGAAAATGTCAATTTTTGCTCGTCCTCCTGGCTCATAACAAGGTTTGACTAGAAGATTATCTTGCCTCTTGTTGTAAGCAGCTACAGTTTTCACATCAGCACATTTGGTCAAGCAATGGAAACAGATGGCAGTGATGTTATGTAATGCAGTGGGACGGATTCATGAGTGAGTGGGGTTATGTGCACCATGTCTTAAAAGGTTATTAATGGCTTTTATGACTTGTTTACCTGTAAAGAAATACAGCGCAGAAATTTTAAATGTTTTAATTAGTAAAAAAAAAACTTAAGAACATTGTGCTAACACCTTAAGAATACAAATACTGTGATTAGCAGACTCCTGCTTTTAGCGTTGTTATTTATTCAAAAGCTCAAGAATGAAATCGCACTGAAGAACACTTTCTTTTTGCTGTATTTCAAAACAACGAAGAATTAAGGCTACTAATTAACAGCATTTGTTGCATTTTTCAAACATGAAGTGGGAGTGAAGTAAGTTTCTTGTAGGGGGTGACTTGTTCTTTAAGGCTTTAAGCTTGATTATCTACATCTATCTTTGTCAGCCACACTAAAAACAGGAAGTTGATTTCACTTAATTATACTATGTCAACTGGTTCCACTAAACATGTTTGCTTAAATCTAAAGAGTAATATTGTTAAATGTTGTTCATTTAAAGTGGCAATGTGTAGTTCCCTGCCTCTAGGGTAGATTTACACCATATCACCATGACAGTCGCTAGTTTAAAAAAATACATTACAGTAAACGTGTGGAACAGGAAGCATGTGACCTCGTCGTGACTAATCAGACTTTGATGGTCCTTCAGTGAATTCCATCGAGAGAATGCCGATTTTAGTTTTCTGGTGCTGTAGTTCCCCGATCTGTTCAGGGTCCTGCAGTGTTGGGAAAGTTTGTTTAAAAAACGAACTAGTTCAAAGTTCAGTTCATACATTTTAAAATGACTTAGTTCGTTTCTTAGTTCATAATTTAAAACTTTTTGAACTAAGTTCACTGTTCCAAAAATTAACTAGTTCATAGTTATTTTTCCCCTATATATATAGGAGACAAAATAACATATATATATATATATATATATATATATATATATATATATATATATATATATATATATATATATATATATATATATATATATATATATATATATATATACACACACACACACCGTAAATCCTCTAATACAGGACGGTATTCAATTAAAGGCCGGGTCTCCAATTTTGGCCGGTGTCGGAGTCAGCGGAGGTGAATAATGGCCGGTCTCTTATTGTGGCCGGGTGGAATGCAGTAACAAGCAATTATGAGCGTCTCAGCGGCAGGGTTATAGTCCCCCAAATCAACCAGCAGGAGGCAGTAGAGGTTCACACAGACCTTTATTAGGCTTTTTCTTCAACTCTTTGTAACGCTACAGACACAATGCTCTATCATGCTCCTACCACACAGAGTCACAGTGTCAGTTAACCATGATAATTCAACCCGCTCCACAGAACACACATCACCTTCCCTGTGGCTTACATAACACTCACACAACACGCAAATCAGCACATAGGAACCAGCAGAACGATAGGAAACACATATAACACAATACCCAGAATGCACCTGGCTTACAACCCCAGCCAGGTCATTACACTATCAAATTCAAAGAGAACGTGCTGATTATGCTGCAGAACACTCTGGGGAGCAGTAGCAGGGGTTGTATGAACTAGTCGACTTCACTATAGTGACTTTTTATGCCTGTCGTCGACTAGTCGCTGTCACGTGATAATGAACGGCAAGATGCAGCCCTCGGAAAAGACAGCAGCCTGCTGTCAGCAGGTGACAAGCTCCTGCGCTCAGGGGGGCAACGCGCTGTGTCAGAGCATAGGTACTGACACGCGATCGTTCATGTCGGTTCATTTCCTTTAATGTTTTCTGTCTTTTATTTGCGCCTGATGTGTTTCGCTGCTGTGGAGCGGGGCACATCACCTTGTCCTCCGACTCACAGATCACTGATGCGGCCGCCAAGCAGGGAGAGCTCCGCTGTTTTCGCGGTCGGTAGATCTGCCTCCTGAGCACGGCCACAATCAGGTGTCGCCACCTCAAAAACTAATTTAACACACGATCGTTCATGTCAGTTAATTTCCTTTAATGTTTTCTGTCTTTTATTTGCGCCTGATGCGTTTTGCTGCATGCTGTGGAGCGGGGCGCTGCGCGCATCACCTTGTCCTCCGACGCAAATTCCACTACCTCCGCTCCGCTCCGCTCCGACACAAACGCCGGAGCAAAATCGGTCCCGTTGTAGTCAATCAGAGCAATTCTACTACTGCGGCCGTGCTCCGGCAGTGCGGCGCCGTGCGCCGCCCTCTGTTCCGGCGTCCGGCAAAAATAGAATCGATCCTATGTTCGCCGGAGCACCTCCGCAGTCAATGGACAGAAATCACAACTGCCCAACAGGAAAAGGAGCAAGCACAACTTCCTTTTTTCACAATAAATCGCTAAACAAAAGGCGTTTTTTGTTTCATATGCACAGGTTTAACAACTTTTAACAACTATCAATGGCGGCTGAACTTTAAATGCACAAAAATAAGCCATAAATACAGTTTCTACTGTCAAAGTAGTCGCCCTTTGTTGATCCAAACACTGCTGATCTCTCAACACAAATGATGGGCAGATTAAACAGTTCATTTCGATGCTTCTCCCACACAACGGGTGTTTGGATCTAACTTCCGCGTTTATTGCTCAGACTGTATGATACGGCGCCAAGCAGGGAGCGCTCCACTGTTTTTGCGGTCGGTAGATCTTTTAGAACTGCAGTTCAAAGGTAACTCATAAGGTCAATATATGTGAACCCAGGTAGCAGTTTTTCTTTAAGATTGAGTGGAGATGTAGGAAGATAATAAACAGGCAGGACAGAAAAATAGTCAAATAAAAACAAGTTAGTTTTTGTACCTGGTGGTTGCAACAAACAGACACCATTGAAGGTAATCAGAAGTAAGGAACAGAAAATGAAATAATTATTTTAATGTTTAGAGCAGCAGGAACTCCGAGAGGCTGCAGGCGCATCAGTGAGTTTGCAGCTGCTGCGCAGGGGGAGGGGGGAGAGGGCTGAAGCAGAAACTACCGTTGTTAAAAGAAATGTGTTTAACTTTGAAAATGTGGGCGCAATTTTAATTGTCAAAAACTCCAGTGAACCATTAGTTCATTTTGCTCAAATAGAAATAGAGGCCTGCCTCTAATACTGGCCCTCCTTCCAATAAAGGCCTGGAGCTTGATGAGCTTGAGTCAAATACAGGCCCGGGCCTGTATTAGAGGATTTACGGTATATATATATATATATATATATATATATATATATATATATATATATATATATATATAGTTACGTAAGAAACCATCAAAGGTGAGATTCCGTAGAAAATATGAAATCAATTTGATGTATCTTTGAACATTACTTTAAACAGAAGATCAGAACTTTTTATTGCAGGGATTAGGTAACACTTCGTATTAACCCAGAGTCAAGAGAGAGAGTGAGAGATAAGTTTTAAAGTTTAAGAAGATTTATTTATAAACAATTTAAAACAAGGCTAATTAGCTCTAAACTCTGTGTGATGAATGGATCTAGATGTGAATGAGGCAAAATGGAGGGTGTAACGTGGAATGTTGTTATCAGAACTCTCGTTTCCAGAGAAGCATTAGTTCTGTGTGGGAGCGAATGTTTTTGCTCTAAACTACAATCAGAGTTTCAAAAACCACATTCAGACGCTATCTTGCCATTTTACATACCCTTGCAGAGACCTGCATTATAGATGCCAGGTCCTCGGACCCCCCTTTGGTACCGGAGCCGGTGAAACAGCATGACAGACTTGTCATGGGATTGCCTCCAGGTAAATGACAGTTGGTTGACAGCGTCAGCGGTACCGTAAAGGGTCAGTGAGTTCAGCTTTTACTCTGAAGGAACATTGTGTCAGGTGTAGCTTGCAACAGGTTTTATAATCCAGCTGGTCAAGGTTCTTTGTGGTTAAAAGGTTACGAGTGGCCGGCTCGCAACTCTAGAACGTTTGAACTGAGTTAAGGGTGACGTGGGAGTTAGTTTTATAATTCAGATTTTTTGATTTATGGTCGAATCAGAATGTGACAAAAAAAATAAACACCGCACAGACTACGCCACGCGTCAGAAAGGAAAGCTCTGATTGGAGAGACAAAGGAATGTGTCATGTGATCTTAGCATTACGTGTGATGAGTCTAGTGTGTAGTTTAAAGTTATATTACTTATTAAAATACCATCATAGGATTATGATATCAAGTAATTAATATTCTCATTTCACAGACTGATTTAACATTGAGCTTTACATGATTATTTGGACTAACAAGTTATTTGATTATTATTTAATAGAGATCTTGGTCTTCTTTCTTCTTGAGCTGTTGGAGGAGGCAAATAGCTGGTTAAAACAGCTTAGATGCAGAGGCATCAAAGGCCTTGAGCAATATCTCAAGGAGATAAGTTCTTCATGAGGAGAGAGGGGAAAACAGTCCCTTCATGACGCTACATATATATATATATATATATATATATATATATATATATATATAAATTTACATACATATATAAATTTACACACACACACACACACACACACACACACATATATATATATATATATATATATATATACACATATATATATATATATATATATATATATATATATATATATATATATATATATATATATATATGCATAACTCATGAAATAATTTTAATGGGAAATTATTAAACAATCTTTGGAACCAGGCTGAGGTACCAAACTCAAAGTGCCATATTAAAAGTGTAAAACATAAAAGAAAATGTATAATCTTTCAGTTAAGTTCCGTTTACATTTTTCTGAATGAACTTTGACTCCTGCACACAGCATAGATGTAGAAGAGTAGACACCGCACCAACCGCTACTGCCTATGTTTGGCCGCATTTGCGGGTTCTACTTTTCACAAACTCTATGGTTAACAGGAAGCTTTAGCTAGGCTTTAACTCCGGAAAAGCTCCGTGGAGATCTGGAGCTAGAACGGCGAAAGTACACGTTCATAAACCCGTTCATACACGCCAGGATGAACGCACTCACTTTTACGTTCATCAGGCTAAACACGAACGAGTTCAGTTTACGTTCACAAAAAAACCAAACAAATTCCCGAACGATTGTTTAATGAACGCGTTCGGGTACAACACTGGGGTCCTGCGCCTGCCGATGACATCACCATCCTGCGGCAATACCACTCAGCCAAAATGTAGTTTTTATTCTTCTTCATCGCTTTTTTGATTCTGTTCTTTCACATACGTTTAGGAAAGGTTTTAGCAGTTCTGTTGTTAAATTGTTGTTTCTTGCAGCCTAAATGTATTTGAACGTGGTAGTGTAACTTCGGTAAGTTGAAAATCCAGCTAATCATCTAGTGTGACATCATCGACAGGTGCAAGACCCAGAGCCAGCCAGAAGGAAACATGGTGTCCGATATGGCATCCCCCAAAGATGCTAGACCCGCGCCTTAATTTAGACCCAATTTTTGTGATATTTATGTTACAAAGTCACCAATATTTTTCAACAACTGGACATCATTTTATTAATTTTCAACATTTCAGTGGATATTTCCAGAGATTAATGGTAAAAACTACATAAGTAAACATATCTTATTCTTTATATTTAAGCAACTAGCTTTCGTGGAACCATTTGACATAAAATGATTAATTTAATTCAACATTTCATTTCTTACACTGCAGTGCTTTTCACACCAAAATGTCATTTTTAACTTGTACCAAAACATTTATAGGGCTGTAATGTACAGATCTCACCTCGTCAACTTCGATATGGGCTAAATAAGTCCTGCTGTGGACCATTAAAACATATTTATAACAATATAATATATTCATGCAAGACATTGCGCAAAATGTCTTGCTTTCATCCGGTGTGTGTGTAAACTGGTGAACGTTTTGTTTTCCCTTCTCTGCTTTTAGGAAGAAGCAGATTCTTCCGCTTCCGTCAGGCTGCTTTGAGCCTAATGAACACCAACAAGCAATCCCTTCCACAAGAGGACCCAGATGCTGTGATGGTGGAGTCTCCCAAAGAGGATGAGGACTCGGTGGCCTTGGAGAGCTTCCCCTCACCCACCAAGAGTGTTTGCAGTCCCAATGAGGCCAATGACATGCGTGCCCTCATAGGCTCAAGCCACCACTCCTCCCAGGCTAGCATCGGCCCTGAACCACTTGACCACTCATCCCTGAAAGTCCCTTGGGAGAAGCTGTACCAAACAGAGCCACAACAGTCCTCCAGCTCCTTGTCAAACACCTTCCCCAGAGGTAGCACCAGCAGCATGAGGAGAGCCTCATCCATCCATGAAATTGAGGGCTACAGCTGCAATTCCAAAAGCGTTTTCAGGGATCGGCAAACAACTGAAGGTATAATATAGCAGTTATTGCTAATAGGGGCTAGTATTACTCCCAATGTGTGTGGGACCAATGTAAAGACACTAGCTATTTAGAGACTAAGAATAAATTAATGAAAAAAATCTTGACCTGAAGAAGTTTGACCAGTGAAGTTAATGAAAAATTACATCATAGGAGAAAAACTGTATTACTAGGCCTGTAAGTAATGCCATACATGTGGATTAAAGCAAGACGTTCATGTAGTCAGCTTTAGGATGTGATGCAAAGCAAGCTCACCTTGTGGGTAATCAGCTGACGCTGTATTAACATGTTCTATTCCTGAATTCTCAGTCAGATCTATCCTTCTCCAGCTCAGTGCCCAAGCTCTGCGCTTCAAAATGATCTCCCATAAGTCATCCTTTGTCAAACTCATTTTTATAGTGTATAAAACAAGTCAAATTCATCATTTAAATGTAAAAATTTTAATAATCATAACTCTTTAATTATAAGATTACAGTAACTTTGGAATATTCATGTCTAGCTTCTGTTCAAATGGAACTAATTAAAAAGATTTGAACGTAGAAGGTGCTGTTCTGTGAAACCGGGAGTTTATGTTAATCAGGTGAAAAATGCAGAGAATCACTTTTCTGCAGAGGTGACAAATTCCAGTCTTCGGGGGGCCACAACCCTGCAAGATTTCGTCGTTTCCCAGCTGCATCAGCCTGATTCAGATGACTTCACAGCATGTTATCGAGCTCTGCAAAAGTCAGTGAAAGACCAGTTCATCTAAATCAGATGTGCTGATGCAGAAATCCTGTTAAAGACACGTAGACCGCTCAAGAACCAGAGGTTGACACCCCTGCTGTAAGACAGGCATGCAACTCAGGAAGGTGACGAGTTGAGGATTCGTAAGCAGGCACAGTCAGGTTTGCTCGAAACTACCGTTTAGTTAAAGAAAAAAATCCAACTCAATGGGTTTCAAAAAATATTTATTATAACAAACCAAATGAAATTCAATTGTTACCATGGAAACCTACACAGCATATTTAGTTATCTCATGTTGTCACATTGTAATTAATCAAAAGCAGACACATATTTTCTCAAAACAAAGTAACCAAGGTAATGTTGCTTTAAGAGTTAACCTTCAAAATACACGATTGAGAAATCTTTCATCATCATATTTAGTATATGATACAACTATAGTAACAGATGGCATCCTAAATTGCAAGGCTGAAGTCTATTTTCTATTTGCAAGGAAAAATGGGAGAAATGTCCTGTGGATCCTGCATCATCCATTGATGCCAGAACACATTAGTCAGCAGTTCTGTGGAAGTGTAGGAGACCACGATCATTGCTCGCTATAAATAGACCTAAAGTATCTGGAGCTCTATGCGTCACATTTTTGTCACCATCCTGCTTAAAACGTGAAGATTTTAAAACCTCCTTCAGTCTTAAGTCTCTGTCTGGAAAAAGACATAATTACCAAGAATATGTTTAAGCAGGCTTCAGCTTATGAAGTTAATTAGCATGTACATGCATTTTATTATTGGGTAAAGAAAACAAACCAGATTAGTTTCATCAGCACTACTTTAATATAAAGTGATCCTATTATTAAAGCAACATTTACTTTATTTTTGTTTTTTTTTTTATATACATAGGGAGCTTAAAAGGAACTCCAGCTATGAGGATGTGTGTGCCCTAATATGCCACAAGTTTTCTGTTCTACCAAACCATGTTGTTAGAAACCCACAATATTGCTGTTTACTTATAAACCTATAATATTTAGTACATTTTTTAACATATGTAGGACGCCATGTTTTCCGCACGCAATGCACTCTGGGGGTGATGACGTATATTGGTTGCGAATAGCCATTGCCGTATTAATAATTAAGTAAAATGGCACATTGAGCTGCCTTTGAATGTAATTTCCAGTCAAAGGGCAACAAGGCGAGTGATGTGAGTTTACACAGCTTTCCCACTGACAAGAAGAGGAGAAAGCAGTGGGAAGATGCCTGTGGACGGACACAACTTCCCAAAGATCCGCAGCTGTGTTCCCAACTTTTTTCTCCTGATGCGTTTGAGGCTTATGGGCTCGACACACGGGAGGCGAAATCGCCTCTCCATTTTCAATGAGACATGCGCGACAAAGCGATAATCGCGGGTCTCCCTCCTACCAAGCGAAACGCGAAAAACGTGCGTGTGAAATTTTGCGCTCGTGCACGTGCCGTGCATAGGCGACGCAGTGACGCGATCCCAGAAAGTTGAAACATTTTCAACTTTTCATCGCTGTCGCTCGGACGAGGACCAATCAACGGAGGTTTCATTCACTGACCAATGAGCGGACAGGATGCACATCTCCGAGCAAACATAAAGGAGAAGTTGATTATTATTATGTTTATATAGTAAAATCAGAAGTAAGATTTCACATAACTCTAACAGCACCTTGTGAAACATCATATCTACCACTTTATTAACTCTGAACTGCTTAAATAACCTTAATTCCCTCCAACCTGACACAGCCAAACAAAACAACGGACGTTTCGATTTCACCATGGAACAGAATGCGTAGAAGGCTTTGCCGCTGCCGCGGATCGCCTCCCGTGCGTCAGGTAATAAAAGCGACAGCGACAAATTTCGCTGATCGCGGTCGTTTGTCGCCTCTCGTGTGTCGAGCCCATTATAGTCGGCCACAACTAGTAAGAGCTCACCAGAACGGCTGGGTATAAGAGAAGGTGGAAACTAAATGCTTTAGCGACCATTATTCCCACACAAGGAACCTAATCGCTCTCGGAGAGACAAGAGACGCTGGACGCTCTCCCGAGCTGACAACCCGCTCCTGCAGCTGTCGCTTCTGTCAGGTTCAGCGAACCATCGGACACGCCACTCGTCACGGATGGAGCTGAACATTCACCTCTCCCGTCAGTAAAACAAGCAGCAAGTGTAGCAATACGGTGTTCTCCAAATATATAATATCTGCAAAAATGATTAAAGTCATTTCACTGAATATACTAATCATCATCTATAAAGCACACGACAGCTCTGGATGCTAAAATTCTCCAAAATCGTTCATAATTGAATAAGTTTGATCACACGATAGTTTACCATTAACTTCTGCTGACAAAAATGTGAGCTCTCGACAACAAACTCTCCCTCTCGGTTACCACGGAGCATTTGCCACACACGCACCACTGGTTTTGTCCTGCACTCGCTTCATCCCGCCCTTCTTGCTCTTCATTTTGAAGCTCGTTTTGTGAAACATTGTCAGCGATGTCCTCATTAATGTTTCACTCTGGTTCAAATTGAAAAGGCTGAAAAGATGACATGTTCATGTCACTGAACAGTCACTACAGGGTCCCAAAGCCGGCCGGTGCAACCGAGGTACAACCATATGACGTCACTACCCAGAGTGCATCGTGATGCTAACAACAATGGCGACCTACGAGTTAAAGTATTTTTACAAATTTTATAAAAATGAAGACATTAAGAAGGTATTTTACACCACTTTAATATAACTGATACTAACATTTATCTTTTAACTCATTCACCGCCAGCCGTTTCCTGATCGGTAAAGCCATTCGCTGCCACCGTTTCTCACCATTTTTACTGTATTTTTAAGAGTCACAACGTTGCACGCTAGGATGATGTTGATGCCAAAGGAACCAAAACAAAGAGTAGACTCACCTCTTACATCAGGAAGAATCCACGCGTTTCGAGCTTTATCCATTCTTTCATAATCCGCTTTCCTATGTAAAGTAGAAATGTTCGTATGGCGATGGAGAAACGGTTCTGGTTTAACATGCCATAAGCTTAGACACACCTCCTTATATTAACATGGCACAACCCCCTTCAATATATAAATGTTGGTCATGGTAATGCAAAGCGCAGAATGCTAGCCTGAGCTACTGCTAACATTCTTGTTGGATGAGAGGGACAAAAACAGAAAAAATTTTAAAAAATTAAACATCTAAAAATTTCCTAAATAAAAGACTTGCAGAGATGCTATTTCATATCTATGTAGATCACATGGATACATGTAACCTAACAGCTTATTTACTCAGAGTCTCTCGAGAAGTGCTAAGGTGTGTTTTCCATTAATTTAATCCTGGCAGTGAAGAGACATCAAACAGTGATATCAAACGTGATCTCCTTCTTCCTCTTGGTTTAATGGCGGATGTCATAATCATATTGTGACCCTTAAAGTCTCGAGGGATTTTGTGATCTTGTGAGTCCAGCGAGGCAGACAGCGAAGCACGGAATTGTACCTTCCCGCTGCCGTTCTGCGTCGCTGATGCTTCCAGTGTGGATTCGGACTTAGGGCTTTATTTTGGGGTTATGTTTGGCCATTCATCAAGGCTCCTGGGTCATTGTGAGCCCCAACAATGTTTCACAATGTCCAATTGTAAAAAATAATTATTTTTTCCTAGAACACCTTTAAATGTTTTTTTTCTCTGAATCTCTAGGACCTTTCAACCATGTTAGGTCTAGCCTGATCGGCTCTACCTCGGATTCAAACATCAACAAGTACAGCACCATCCATAAGATCCCTCTGATTGCTCTGAACTTCTCAGAGGTGACCGAGAAGAAGCCTCATTCTCCTCCAACATCAGACAAACCCATTATAGCACCAAAGGTCAAAGACAGGACTCACAACGTCACAGAAAAAGTCACACAGGTGAGTCAGTGCTATAAAAATAGCATCAAGGCACTATAAAAATGACACATTTATGCATTTATTACATCACCTGATGTATTTATTTTGGTCCTGTGTTGGAGCCATCAACATACATATATGGACAATGGGTTTCCATACACTCCAATAACAAGTTTTTCTGCTAAAATGGGAGGTGGCCACCACCGCCATTTTGACCGTGTCACAGGTTCCGTCAAGCCCAGACAAGTCCACAAAAGGGAAGAGAGGTGGAGCTGAGGGTAGGGCTGTAAGGCTGGGATCAACTGACGACACCCGGTCGAACTAGCTACAAGCTAACCTGAAGCTAACCCAAAGCTAATGCGGAGGTGGGAGCTAAGCTAACGGAGGTAGCAACCTAGCTACAACCGGAGTTAACTGTGCACGACACCAGAGCTTCTGAGTCAGAGATACGCCGGGCTGACCGCTGGGTAAACCCAGGTGAGGTCTCCGAGACCTCCACAAGCTGGCAGCCACACAGCAGACAAGCGCCGCTGCGATCTGAGATGTGCAGAGCTGCCGCTGGGGAGAACCGGGTGGAAAGGTTTCCATCCCAGAGCTCCACAAGCCGGCAGCCCGCGCAGCTAACAGAAGCCGCGATCAGACAGAGATGCGCCAAGCTGCGAGGAGGGGATAAGAGTGGAAAACATCGGTCTCCCGAGAGCTCCACAAGCCGATAGTCGGTACCCAGCTCCACCAACATGTTATATTTCAACCCATTTTCTAAAGTGCAGCATTATTTTAAATGCACTGGGTTTTACCCTATTACATTTAAATTTCGTGGTTAAACAGTACATGTTAAAATCTAAGCTCAGCTCAGCAGTGACCTAAAATACATAAATATAATTTTACTTACCAAAAAAATTGAGGTGGAGACTCCTTGGACGCTCTATTAGTGCAATTAATGCCACAGCAAGTCATTTTGTCCAACAATTGCACAAAAATCTCCAAACAAGAATACTCAGAGACTCAAAATCCCGGAGCAGTTTCCAGGCCAGACTGAGGCTCTACTGAGGCCTTTCCACGGAGCTAGCTTTGCGGTCACGTGGGTCGGATGCTCATTAATTGTACAGAATTTTAGGCTTTTAATACACTTAAACAGAAGAGTGAGAAAAAAATTCACCCCCCTCAGAGTTGTCATGAGTGTAAACTAGATCATTTAAACCAACAACATGTTCTGGTACCAGGCTGTAAACATGTTTATTTCTGCTGTGAAATTGGTATTTTTGACATGGGAGTCAATGAGGATTTGCTCGCTTCTGCCACCAGCCCCCAGAGGATGAGGGTGGAACTGCAATTTTTGTCACTTCCGGGTTTGACTCAATTTCAGAGCTGCATTGTGGGGGCCTGGTTGGAGCAGAGAAACATGTGAAAAGGCAGGACTGGGGTCAAGGATTGTTCCAACGGTTTTTCTGTTTATTAAGAAGAGAATGCTTTACTTAATGAAATATTTCTGAAATGGCACCGCCTGTGTGCAATAAAATAATCTGTCAGACAACTGAGCTGGTGTTTTGGCATTTGAAGCTAGGATATTGCTAAAAACGTTGAAATCTGGGAAAAAAAATATGAAAATAAACATTTTACTTGCCATAACAGATTTTTAAGTTGGTGAGATTCTGCCAACAAAAACAAGGTAGTGAAAGGAAGCGTGTGGTTTGTTGGAGTAAAGTGTTCCCACTGACCCGTACGGAGGAGATGAGTGAGTTGCAATTACTCCTGATAGAGTAGACCCACAAGAAGTTAGGGTTACTAGGTATTCATCGTGAGACTCAGTTACAGGATGAAGTGAACTAGTAACTAGTAAGTAATGTGTTACAAAAATGTTCAACTTTTTTCATAAATGAAACTAAACTAAAAAAATCTACATATTTTTCACTGCAATTTATCAGATATTTAAAGTAAATAAGTTATTCAATGGAAAGGGGTTGTAGGTCAAACCAGTACAAATGTAATGCTCTGGTTTTTACCAAGCAAGAAGAAACTTCTTTCCACATACAGCACCTTCTTCATTTATAAATGAAGACCCCTCATCCTGGTTGAACAGTCTTCCTCCCTGCAGAGTCCCACTTGAAGTTTGGAGACACTGCTGACATATGAACGCTGCGTCTGCTTCCGGACTGCTGGCATGGCGAAATCTATAATTCATGTGTCGAAGTTAGGAAGAGTGCTGAGGAGAATAGAATGGCCCATTGCCCTCGTCCTTGTTCTTACACTACTTTATGTCTTTAGAGAGTCCTTTCTCTGCTTGCCGTAGGTCATTAGGCCAACAACAGGGGACTGCCTTGGCATTCCCGAGCAGGCTGAATAATTTAACATCCGGCCAGAGCCTATTCATTCCGCTAAATTAGAACCACATTTCGCTTAGGGAGGTGTTTTACTTTTACTTTTTGAGCAGCAAACATTTAGTAAATACAGAGCAAGTCAGTGGGATGGATCAAATTTAGGGGAGGTTCTAGACAGAAACATTGCCTTACATTATTTGTAATTTTAGTGTGTAATTACAACAACTTAAAGAGCAAGTTACCCCCTACCAGATTCTAACTCCACTTCCACTTCATGTTTGAAAAATGCAACACATGCTGTTGCCTAGCAGACCGAGAGGGCGGAGCCGCTAACAAATACACACACACATAGGCTCATGACAGCATTGCGACATCATAATGTACCAGTTTACATCATAGCATACCTCTTAGCCAATAGCGGTGGCAGATTTAAATTAGAATACAGTGCAGAGTTTTTACCTGACAACGGCACAACACTGTCAGTATTAGGCAGAATATTTTAATTTTAACTAAGATGCACTGAAGTACCAAATTATTGACGACACGTGTCTGCAGCACGATTAGACACTCGTTTATTTAGTTTATCAGCAAAAAAAAAGTTTATTTGGGGGTGACTTGCTCTTTAATAACAGAAATTTAGTTACAGATGTTTTAGATTGAACCGTTTCCAATAAGTTTCAAACTATCACATTTTTTGCAAACATTCTTTGACATCTTAGTAACTTCAGATGAAAGTATTTCTCTCAGCATTTCTTTTACACTTTACAAATTTATAGTCTGGCAAGCCATCTTATATGTGTGAATAAATAATCTAGCCACGACTCGTAAACAGAGATGGGTTGAGATCTACGACTGTCATTTAAACTGTCTACGAATGCTATTGGACGATGAACACCACAGCGTCCTCACCGCCACGGATGTCACGCAACAGGGCATACACTGTCGAATGAGACGCAATTACATCCTTTTTCTAAAAAAAATGAAAAAATAATAACATTTAAGTACTTCTATCTGGTCTTGACTACAAGAAAAGCCCAAATCAAAATAGTGTAAAGTTGATTCAACAGCCGCTTCAAATGAGCCGCCACCATCTCATCTGTTCTGCTCTGCCACCTCTTACCGCCCACCAAACCGATTGAGTGCTGTGATTGGTGCAACACTATTACTTAAGCCTGATTCATTCTTCTCCGTCTGCGTCAGTGCGGTGACATGCAATGTCATTAAGCGTCGGCAGAACAGATTGCAGACACATCCAGAAAAGGTCTGAAAATATGAACGTTTCTTCACGCGTGACTGAAGGAGTACAAAATACGGAGCAAACGTGGACGGAAATGATGGGAACCGTGGTTTTAGAAGTGGTGACCGCGTGAAGAGATGAGGAGAATGAAGGACAAATTTGTCCGTGTCATAAAGTCTCTGAATTATGTAAACACATTAGTAAATACACCGTCATGGACCAGATACATGAGTTATGGTGGCAGGAGGCCACAGAAAAGCGCTACGCCCCCTGTTGTCTTGGCCGGGAATTGCTTTGCAACACTTGGCTGCCTGTTCAGAAGTTCGCATTTGAATACCTTTCCGACATTCCGTGAGTGTCTCTCCGTTGCGGACCTCACGGAGAAGTATAAATCAGGCTTAATACTGCTCAGGTCAATGGTAGGCCTGCTGAGGCTCTTATGGAGCACGGCTACACCGACATGCAGCGCAAAATCATTTTGTTTTGACTACTGTCTCTAGATTTGCTTGGCTAATAAATTAAGGATTTGGTTCCACTTCTTACATTATGTTAAATTATCAAAATAAATTAAACATGCCTATTCATGCCTTCAGTGATAGTGTGTATTTTTCCTGGTGATGGGGGCAGTAGATACATAAATCATTGCAAGCGAGTAGTGTTTTGTGTTGGAGTAAGATGCCCATTAGGATATGGGGACCTGGGGACTGCAAACTTAAGCAAAATGGAAACACATCAGACTTCCTTTCATCACTTGCGATGAGTGAGGAGATACAGTAAATGTGTAAAACATTGACGTTCCTGAATGGTGAAAGTTTGTTTAACCGTTTGTAATTCACCTCACCTGCCTCTGGCTACCCTGCCTACTTGATTATCCTTGTGTACTTAAACCCTCTGTGCTTGTCTGTGTCATATCCTCGTCTTGTTTCCCGTCGTTTCTTCCTACCTGCCATTGTTCAATAAAGCAGCTCAGCCAGCCTGCTTCCTGTGCCTTCTCACCTGCGTTTGAGTCCAAGCAACACCTCCACAATATGACACCATCAACACCCAAACAGTAGTGCAGCGGTCCACTGTCCTTATGCAAGAGAGAGCTATCAAAACTAGAACTTTGCATTAGCACATTGATTAAATCATCAGTTAAAAATTACGCCCGAATGAGATGATTCTAAACATTCTAAACCCGAACTTCCTAATGCGTGAAATACTTCATTTTATTTGCAATTTTCTATTTAAAGAGGGTTAAATAGATATTTTTCTTATCTGTTTTGGATATTTTGTCTTCTCCAGGTTCTGTCACTTGGAGCTGATGTTCTTCCCGAGTACAAACTGCAGACGCCCCGCATTGACAAGTGTACAATCCTCCACTACAGCCCCTTCAAAGCTGTGTGGGACTGGCTGATCCTCCTGCTGGTCATCTACACAGCAATCCTTACCCCTTACTCTGCTGCATTTCTCCTCAACGACCAAGAGGAGCAGAGGAGGCGTGAATGTGGCTACTCCTGCAGCCCTCTCAATGTTGTGGATTTAATGGTGGACATCATGTTCATTATTGACATCCTCATAAACTTCAGGACCACCTACGTCAACCATAATGAGGAAGTTGTCAGCAACCCGGCCAAGATAGCAATCCATTACTTCAAAGGCTGGTTCCTCATCGACATGGTGGCTGCTATCCCTTTTGACCTCCTTATCTTCGGCTCAGGATCGGATGAGGTTTGTTGTGTTTCATCTTGTTTTTTCTCTACCCTACGGCTTTATTTCACACCACAGCAGGCATGCTTGGTCTATTAAACACTCGCATCTCAGGGGAATTTTTCTGTCAGTCCTGAAAGAAACACTTCCAACTGCCTGGTTTTTGTCTTTCTTTCACTGTCCTCTTTTTTCTGAATGGCCCTTATTGTAAAATCCATTAACGAGGATTAGTGGCTTACCAAAGGGCAATCAATGAAGCATCTATGTGAAAACAAGACCAACAGGGCTCTGTGCAACGGCTTACATGCAGATTTACTATTGGTGGGCTTGCTGCCTGGTCTGACAGGTTTAATTTATTTATTTGTTTGTTTAATTCATATGTATGGTAGGATATTTCCTCTGAGGCTTTGGCTCTACTTCAGAGCTTTATCGGGCTTTGTGGGCACTCGATTACACCAGAAAAGCTCCAGATTATGAACTAAAGTCATCTTTTCTGTCACTGCCGCTGCTGAGTCAGTTCACAGGATCACAACAAATCAAAACAAAAATGAGCATCTGGGGTTTTTATATTACTGGAGAATGAAAAACAACGACGGACCCTGGCCAGGAGCTTTTTAGTTGAATTCCATCCTTAGCTTCCCGGCTTTGGAAGTTTCAGAATGATTGTGCAAAGTTTCGCTCACGTTCCTCCTTATTTGCGTAATGAAAGCAACAGATGGGTTTCGCAAGGCTCATTTCCTTTAACAGCCTGACAAAAAAGGCTGACCCATATGCAGTTAAGCAAATCGTTGTATCAGAGCGGAAAATGTATGAAATGTGATTGATTTAAGTGTTGTGCCTAAATAATAAATCACATGATCAAAAGCGCCGAGCACGACTGAAATCATGCACGGAGGAACGTTTTATCAGAAACATTCAAATGTGATTTAAAAAGTTAAAAGCTTTGTCCCAGTTTGAACCTATAAATCTTGTTCCTGTTAGGAACGAGCAGAGCGGAGAGGAGATTAAATCACTAATGCAGTCTTCTAACATGATTACATGTACTGATGCTTTTAAGAGTTTATTCATATTCAGTTGAACTTCCATTAGATGCCTATTTCTCATTTAAAGACTGACTAAACGTCAAGTATGCTGATGAGCTTTATTTATAGAGCACATTTCAAACGAAGGGCAATTCTGTGTGATTTCTAATTAGCATTAAATGGCACAACAACAAACACAAGAACACAAATCAAACATGTACACAGATTAAATTATAATCTAGAGCTAAAAGGAAAAGACTGAATTAAGGTTGAGCAACTACATCACTGTGGAGACGATGCAGCATGAGAAGCATTCATTCAAAGGCTCATGAGTACATTAGGTTTTGACTGAAACAACACTAGAGTTGGGGCCGATCTGAGGTCCTGGGGGAGCTGATTCCATGTGTGAGCAGCATAGTAGCCAAAAGCACCTTCTCCCTGTTCGGTTCTGACTCGTGGTTCTACAAGCTGATTGTTTCCTACGGATATCAGAGCCCGATTGGGTGCATATTCAGGAATGGGATCTAACATGTATTTTGGTCCCATGCTATTGAGTGATTTATAAACTAGTAGGAGCACTTTGAAATCTATTCTGTGGTTTACTGGTAACCAGTGTAGGGATCTAAGAACAGGAGTGATGTGCTCTCTTTGCAGCAGCATTCTGAACAAGCTGCAGTTGCTTCACAGCTTTTTGGGGAAGACCAGTTAGGAGACCAGTAGTCCAACCGACTAGAAATAAAAGCATGAATGATTTTCTCTAAGTCTGGTCTGGACATGAGGCCTCTGACTCTTGCTATTTGATGACGGTGATAAAGCGCAGATTTAGTAATAGCCTTAAGTCCAGAGAAGCTCAGTAGATACATTTGAGTTATTTTTAATTTACATAAACGACTTCGGAGCAAAAAGGGATTTTAGTCGACAAACTGAGTCATAACAAAAAAATAGCCAAGAATTCTTACGTTTTATAGGACATTTTTTTGTAGAGTCATTACAGTGGGCTTGTCATCGTGACAGGAGGCTGTTTTCTTAAAATAACTATGTTGTGGCAAAAAAGCAATAACTGAGACTGGAATTCCCCAACGTGTATATTTTGTGAATTTAATATAGAGAAAGTCCCATGAGGGGAGCGTTGTATACCATCAGAGTCTGAGAGCCAGAAAGGGAATGGAGGGAAAAACATTTTTTACACTTACAGAAATCTGTCATTGTGAGCAGAATACCATAAATACACAAATATTACTAGTCAAGGGTTGAAACGGCTTCAACTGGATGTGTTTTTTACAAGAACTTTTAAATGTGAAGTGCTATCTTCTTCTTGCTTCTTGTTTTATTAGCCAATGATAAGCCATTGTCTCAGGAAGTGTTTATATGACTTTTTGGAGTCTATCATGTGAGATTCTCACAGAGGGATGAACAAATTACTGTGTGGCAAAACTAAAATATGATAAGGATATTATATAATCATTATTTTATACAGATAATCCACAATGCTGCTTTAATTATCAAACAAATTGCTTTAATATTGATTATTTGAAATATTTTTGTATATATTTTTCTTTATAATAAGAATGAATACCGTAAATCCTCTAATACAGGCCGGTATTCAATTAAAGGCCGGGTCTCCAATTTTGGCCGGTGTCAGAGTCAGCGGAGGTAAATAATGGCCGGTCTCTTATTGTGGCCGGATGGTATGTGGTAACAAGCAAGTACAGCGTCCCAGCGGCAGGGTTATAGTTTCCAAATCAACCAGCAGGAGGCAGTAGGGGTTCACGCAGACCTTTATTAGGCTTTTTTTCAACGCTTTGTAACGCTACAGACATGATCCTCTATCACGCTCCTACCACACAGAGTCATGGTGTCAGTTAACCATGCTAATTCAACCCGCTCCACAGAACACACATCATCTTCCCTGTGGCTTACATAACACTCACACAACACCAAATCAACACATAGGAACTAGCGGAACGATAGGAAACACATATAACACAATACCCAGAATGCACCTGGCTTACAACCCCAGCCAGGTCATTACACTATCAAGTTCAAAGAGAACGTGCTGATTATGCTGCAGAACACTCTGGAGAGCAGCAGTAGGGGGTGTATGAACTACAGTAATCCCTCGTTTATCGCGGTAGATGCATTCCAGACCTGGCCGCGATAGGTGAAAATCCGCGAAGTAGGGACTCCCAGCATGCCCCTCGCGGGGATTCCCTCCACGTCGCACCTACGTCACAAACCGCGGCTATAAACCAAACGGAAGTCGCCTTTCCAGCTCACCACTCAGTCATCGTTTCTTCAGATTCATGATCAGAGTTTCCAACCTACCAATCAATCCAACGAACTATCAGCTCATAGTAAGTTATCTTACTTACTTCTGGAAAGCCCGGCATTTCCGTGTCACTTCGTTGACACTCGAACGCTCGGGGGTTTCCTAGAGCAGCCGGTGTTTCACCGACGCTCTCACTTCCGCGTCTGTGAAACCACGCTCCCTATTGAATTATCGTATGATCACATTCTCTGTGATCAGCAACGCGCTGTGCCAGACCTTAGCTACTGACACGCGATCGTTCATGTCAGTTCATTTCCTTTAATGTTTTCTGTCTTTTATTTGCGCCTGATGCGTTTCGCCGCATGCTGTGGAGCGGGGCGCTGCGCGCATCACCTTGTCCTCCGACACACTGATCACTGATACGGCCGCCAAACAGCGAGCGCTCCGCTGTTTTTGCGGTCGGTAGATGTTTTAGAACTGCAGTTCAAAGGTAACTCATGAGGTGAATATATATGAACCCAGGTAGCAGTTTCTCTTTAGGACTGAGAGGAGATGCAGGAAGATAATAAACAGACAGGACAGAAAAATAGTCAAATAAAAACAAGTTAGTTTTTGTACCTGGTGGTTGCAACAAACACACACCATTGAAGGTAATCAGAAGTGAGGAACAGAAAATTAAATAATTATTTTAATGTTTAGAGCAGCAGGAACTCCGAGAGGCTGCAGGCGCATCAGTGAGTTTGCGGCTGCTGCGCAGGGGGAGGGGGGAGAGGGCTGAGGCAGAAACTACCGTTGTTAAAAGAAATGTGTTTAACTTTGAAAATGTGGGCACAATTTTAATTGTCAAAGACTCCAGCGAACCATTAGTTCATTTTGCTCAAATAGAAATAGAGGCCTGCCTCTAATACTGGCCCTCCTTCCAATAAAGGCCTGGAGCTTGATGAGCTTGAGTCAAATACAGGCCCGGGCCTGTATTAGAGGATTTACGGTATGTTAGATTGGTTGAGAAATACACATAAGAAGACTGTGAAAGAGAAAATCCTCATTTTTCAACTTTGCTTTTGTCAAAAACTCAAGCAGTTTGAAGTTAAACCAGTTGGATTTATTCGCCTCAGTGGGAAACTCACAGGAATCAAGCAGACTCTTGCAGGTTATTGCAAATTTTTGTTTCAATACAAATGGCATTACCTTAAAAAGACAGTTCTTTTGAAAGAATAAAAAAAGTTACATTTTCGTCTATATTATTTATTGATCTAATGGGAATGTTTCATTTATCAAACTTCATTATTATAATTTCCCTTTTTAAATTTAGAAAAAAGCTTATTTCAGTTGAAATGCAGCTGAGTGAACGCCTTCAAAGACTGCAAGGGGACAAGTGTTTCTATTCTAAAAAAAAAAGTATATTCTTGAAATTCTAGTCTTCTTTAAACTTTCCAGGGTTTCTAAAATTTGCTGTGGTGCTTTCTTGAAATTTTTTGTCAACGTCTCATGATTTTGAATGACTACTTTAGCGTTTTGTGACAACTCGCTCACGTATTTTAGTTAATTCTGATGAGGCACTGGTCTTAAGTCAATCGAGTCAATGCCGTCTGTGTGAACACCCACTGAAAGGAAGGTGATTAAAAGTGTGTTAAGCCTGGGGTACAATGGAGGCGGACTCGCCGCACCGCGTCATGCCCATGCCATCATTTTAAATAGAAACTGTACGACACAAACCCAACCGCCGGCACAAACCCAGCCGCAGTTTTGAGAACTTTAAAGTACTATTGATCTTAAAATATTCTAATGAATAGCATACTTACCCATTGTTAATGAATTAGAGTTTCACAAAACGAGATGGCAAGTCTGATCACGTATGAACAATAGAGTCACTTCCCGCTTCCTGTTCTCAAGTTCCGCATGATGTTGTGACTATTGCTCGATTTTCCAAGAAGCGCTCAACGGCGTGGCATGGCACGTTCTGTGTGACCACTTGACTTCTCAAAATCTCGGGCGCGACATGGCGCGTCCGCCTTCAGTGTGCCCCAGGCTTTAGTATGGGATTGTTGTACCGAAGTTTTTATATGTAAATAGTTTTTATTATTTTAGTCTGTTGGGTTGTACATTTGCCAAATGCTTGCCATTGCTCATGATCCTGTCATGCCTCTGCGAGCGTTATGGTTAAATACCTGCCCATGCATAATTTCATTATCCTTTATGGCTCCTTTGCATGTTGCCTTTAAACAATGGTGCAGGAATTTGGCTGTTTCACCACAGCTGAAAACGCACTGACCATCATATTTTCAACCACATCGTCATTCTCACTCTACGGGTCAAAGCTCAGCAACGTCTTGTCTAATCATGTTTATTTTGACTATATCAGTTTTCAAGACCCCAAATGCAATAAACTCCCTTATTGTACATTTTGTTCAGACGACCACTCTTATTGGCCTGTTGAAGACAGCAAGGCTTCTACGATTGGTGCGTGTGGCCAGGAAGCTGGACCGCTACTCTGAGTATGGCGCGGCGGTCCTGATGTTGCTCATGTGCATCTTCGCCCTAATTGCCCACTGGCTGGCCTGTATATGGTATGCAATTGGCAACGTGGAGAAGCCCTACCTGCAACACAAGATTGGCTGGCTCGACAATCTGGCCGTGTCCATTGGGAAGAGATACAACTACAGTGATCCAAGCTCTGGTCCCTCCATCAAGGACAAGTATGTCACAGCACTTTACTTCACTTTCAGCAGTCTCACAAGTGTGGGCTTTGGAAATGTGTCCCCAAACACCAACTCAGAGAAGATCTTTTCCATATGTGTGATGTTAATTGGCTGTGAGTATTTGATTTTCTGCTTGCAGCTTACATTATGAGTCCGTATTGTTTTCTTACTGTATGGCTCCATAATAATAGCACGTTACAGCTAAATGTATTGATAGCTACTGTAACAAACCTCTCTGTTGAATATAACCCACATCTTTGTTATGTTGTTTGTATTTCAGCACTCATGTATGCCAGTATTTTTGGAAATGTGTCGGCCATCATCCAGAGGTTGTACTCGGGGACAGCCCGCTATCATGCTCAAATGTTACGGGTCAAAGAGTTCATCCGCTTTCACCAGATCCCAAACCCACTGAGGCAAAGACTAGAGGAGTACTTCCAGCACTCGTGGACCTACACCAACGGCATTGACATGAACACGGTAAAAAACGCACCTGTTAGCAGAACTATATCTAACATTAAATCATAAAATAATGAATCTGACCAAAGCTTTCTTTCTCTTGTTTGCTTTTCTTTTTGAATGACTTCTTTTAATTGGTAAGAGCAGGAGGTATGTGCCTTTTATTGCTTTTTTGTTTTCAAATGCATTATTGGGAAATGTTTCATTTCCATTTATTTTTCACTTTCTTCTTTTCATTTATGAGGTCTATTTTAAATTGTTCTGCTATAATTTCAGAATTTATATTCTTTTATTTAGGAACTGAGAGATTATATTACACGTGTCAAATCACAATAGTCAAAATATTTCACATGCAAAATATAGATTGTGAAAGTTGCATGGATCCATGAATCTATTATGCTCCTTGTAAATGTTTGAACTACTTACAGAATAAGATTTGATGGGGACATATTATGCAAACTTACCTTTTGCATCCCCTTGTGCTGTCATGCGAGTCTCTCCTGCCAATATAAATGTCATCAGTTTTCTGTCAGTGTCCAGTTTTAGGAATTATGTGCCTAAAACAAGCCATTTCAAAAAGGCCCCATTTGTGATGTCACAATTAGAACAGAACCACCTCTCATGTTTAAGGGAGAGAGCTGCCGCTGGAGGAGCAGTGACTCTACTCCGAGCTTCTCCCAGATACAGCTGCAGCTTGTTTTCTTTAAGTGACAGAACCCTGAAACAACTCATTTTGGAAGGTACTGAAAACATAAAGAATTAAACTGCTGACATTGGTTGATTTGAAAGGGATTTTGTTCAAAAACCTTCATAAATATGTTTTGTATTGACCATAAGATATCATTTGAGCCCTTTTGGATTGACCTTAGTACTATTTTAACTTAGAACAAAAAAGTCATAATATGTCCCCTTTAACAAGTATCCATTCTGCATATCCTAAAGATGGGCTGCACCGTGGCACAGTGGTTAGAGCTGTTGCCTTGCAGCAAGAAGGTCCTGGGTTCGCTTCCCGGCCTGGGATCTTTCTGCATGGAGTTTGCATGTTCTCCCTGTGCATGCGTGGGCTCTCTCCGGGTACTCCGGCTTCCTCCCACAGTCCAAAAACATGACTGTTAGGTTGATTGGTCTGTCTAAATTGTCCTTAGGTGTGAGTGTGTGTGTGCATGATTGTCCTGTGTGCCTCTGTGTTGCCCTGCGATGGACTGGCTCTCTGTCCAGGGTGTACCCCGCCTACTTGCCCGTTGACCGCTGGAGATAGGCACCAGCCCCCCGCCGCGACCCTACGTGGACAAGCGGGTTCAGAAAATGGATGGATGGATGGATGGATGGATGGATATCCTAAAGATCAGTTCTATAAATTCTGCTCATTGATTTTTCAGGTGTTAAAAGGTTTCCCAGAGTGCCTGCAAGCAGATATTTGTCTGCATCTCAACAGAAACCTTCTACACAACTGCAAAGCTTTCCAAGGAGCCACCAAAGGGTGCTTGAGGGCCCTGGCAATGCGCTTCAGAACCACTCATGCACCTCCTGGAGATACTCTGGTCCACAGTGGAGACGTTCTTACGGCTCTCTACTTCCTGTCGCGTGGCTCCATTGAGATACTGAAAGATGACACAGTGGTAGCGATCCTGGGTAAATGCATGTCTTTATTGTTTATGTAACTACTGCAGGAACATCTAGAGGTACTTCATCTAATTAATATTGCATATTTGACTAATTGCAATAAGTTATGTAGGCAGCAGGTTACAAAGATGGTAATTTAGGTCCCTTATGAATTATGACAATGTTGCTGGCAGAGCTGCATCTATATTGTCGTTTGACCTTTGATTGAATGGGTTATCATTTATGCATGTAGTCTCCATTTGCCCATCGAATCTCCCTCCCCTCTACGATGAGTGATCAGTTGTAAAAGGTCACCTCTTTATTGTATGGAGGAGCTCTCAGCTGACTTTGTATTCAGTGTCATGGCCAGTCACTCAATACTTTGAAAAGTAAAAGGGTGGCTCGGACTAGGAGTCAGATAATGTTGATCTTTTTAAAATGCACTTAGAAATTTTAAATGTAAATATAATTTTCTTAAAATATTTGCAGGAGTGAATGGGTTTTATGATACACAATGTACATTTTTAAATACTGATTAGAGGATATGGCTAAATGCAGGAGCATGAATTTGGTAAAGAAAATTATTTTAGAAATTTCTGAATTAGCTTCTTGCGCTACAAGTTATCTCATTTCCCTTCAAGATCCATTTTAACAGTGAGATAATAATTGTTCTTCTTGAAATAGGATCGAGTTTCACATGTAGGTTGAATGAAAAAAGGGTCTTCTACCCCTATTTCCTGCATTAACCGCTGAAGTAAAATAGATGGGGAAATGCTCAGGTCAGAAAAAGCCAAAGAGGTCTACATCACACTGTAAGTTTAGAATTCATGGACTCACCCACCTTGGCTAACAGCTGGGGAAGATTGTGTTTTTTAGCAGTCAGGAGAGAGCAGAGCGCATCTCAGATAGTAGAAGCTAACCATTAGCATTAGCAACTACAAAACATGGCAGCGCTCCCTCAGACTCGAGTTATTTGTGGAGATGAAACATTAAAGTTGCAGAACAAACAAAGGCATTGGAAGGGTCAGGTTGCTGTCAGCCAATCAGAGGCGAGATAATTGCTTATCATGAATATTAATTAGTAAGACTCCAAATTCTCCCCTTTTCTGCTCTCCACTCCTCTGACTAACTTCTAACACCTGAAACAGGAGCGCCAGAGCTTTTGATCCCCACAGAGGCATGCAGTCCTATTAGAGACTACAGCACATGTATTGAAATAACGATTAAAGGCCTGCTTTGAATATAAAGGGAGAATTGAATGAATTGTTATTTTTTTTGTTATTCTTAAACAAAATTCTAATTTTTTTTTTAATTTAGAACTAATAAGAAAATAATGGTTGTTTTTTTTATGTCTGTGAGTTCCTAATCCTAATTAGCTTTGGGGAATTAAAACCAACAATAAAAGAACATAATAACTCAGCTCTCAGGAGGAAACATCAGTTTTGTGTTATGTTCTGAACTGCTTGCATGACTGGATTCAGACACTGACATTGTTATTAAGGAGCTTCAAAAGTTTTATTTTTTTATTTATTTTTTTTTTTTTTTTTTTTTTTTGATTATTGTTGATCAAATAATCCTCTGTTAACAGTAGTTATTTTTTTTATCTTATATGTTATTTTCTGGCCTTTTTCCAGCATCTGACAGATCAGACACAGAAAAGGTTTTGTGTTTGGTTAGTTTTCATGACACACTCTTG